AATTTTAGAGTTCCAAACCTCAGATAAGGACTCTGACATGTATGTTTGTATGCCTGTATCTGTGTAGCAATTTCCAGTCTTGACTGAAAGGATTGACTTACAACCTAAGATTGTAAGTACAGGTACATGTATATGCATGTACAAGAAGTCTCTGACAGTACAAATAAATGGAGATGAGAGATTGATTTAAAATAATCAAGAAATTCTAAATGAACAAAATGTCAGTCTTTCAGGAAGTAAGCAAGAATGTGGTAAAATGTGTTTACCTTGGAGTTAATTGTCAATTTTGGGGCCAATTCTCAGATAACCAGTCACCTGCTTCCTTCTCACAGAGAGATTGCTGGCAGTGATCTGGTCAAGGAGAATTTGATTCAGCTGAGGTGTCACTTCACATGGCATCTGCTTTTGGAAGACATCGACATACCTGATTTGGAAATGAGGATCTCTGATGAGCTTGAATTCCTAGATATCAAAAACACAGTGAGGATGCTCAACCTCAGGGCCTATGTGAAACACCTGAAAGGAGAGGATGAGGAAGCACTTCAGAACTTGAAAGAAGCAGAAGCCATGATCCAGGAAGAGCATTTTGGCCAGAGAAGCTTGGTGACCTGGGGCAACTGTGCCTGGGTGCATTACTACATGGGCAGCTTGGCAAAAGCCCAGACCTACCTGGACAAGGTGGAAAACACATGCAAGGAATTGGGCAGTCCCTACCGCTATAGTATGGAGTGTTCCGAGATGGTCAATGAGCATGGTTGGGCCTTGTTGAAGTGTGGAAGACAGAATTATATAGGAGCCATGACCTGCTTTGAAATGGCTCTGACAATGGAGCCTGAAAACCCTGAATACAACCTTGGCTATGCACTTGTAGCCTATCACATAGACTTTGAAGACAATAATATCCCTCTAGAATTCCTAAGGAAGGCTGTCAGGTTAAATCCAGAAGATCTGAATATTAAAGTGTACCTTGCACTGAAGCTTCAGGATATAGGATTAGCAGCTGAAGCAGAATCATACATTGAAGAAGCCCTCAGTAGCACATCCTGCCAACACTACACATTTCGCTCTATAGCCAAGTATTACCGAAGGAAAGGCTGCATAGACAAGGCTCTCCCTCTGCTACACAGGGCCTTGCAGGCGTCACCTTCCTCTGGCTACCTGCATTACCAGCTAGGGCTCTGCTACCATAGACAAGTGATGCAACTGAGGACATCCACTGATAAGCCGGCCCAAAGGCAGGCTGCACAACAGGCCATTCTTGAATTTCAAGAGGCTGTGAAACTCAGGCCTAGATTTGAGATGGCTTATGTTTGCATGGCAGAAGTTCAAGCAGAAATCGGCCAACATGAAGAAGCAGAGGCAAATTTCCAGAAGGCGCTGAACATGAAGGAACTGTACAGGAATCTTGAGTGTCACAAAGAGCAGGATATTCATTTACGCTATGGCCTTTACCAAGACTTTCATCGGAAATCAGAGGATGAGGCTATCAGCCAGTACTTAACAGGTCTTAGTCTGAATGAAGAAAACTTTGTCTGGAGGAAACTACTCAAAGCTTTGGAGGAAGTGGCCACAAGACGTGTTCGCCAGAATGTTCGACTTGTGGAGAGCACCAGCTTGCTTGGGTTAGTCCACAAACTGAAAGGGGATAGGAAGGAAGCCCTGCAGTTCTATGAGAAGGCTCTGAGGCTCACTGGGGAAATGAACCCTGAGTTCTGAATGCAGCTCCCATCTGGGAAGTGAATGTACTCATAACTGAGGGTTCCCGGCCTCCTTCCC